AGTCATATAAAAGCTCTGAAATGCTCTTTTTTCATGGTTCCAGAAGATTTCCTTCCTTGGAGCTGCCTGCAGTCTGTAGCACAAAATTAGCTCAGACAAGTGAGACTGCTTTTACCTGTGCTCCTATAAACTGGGAGATAAGGAGGAATTTGTGAATGGTGCTGTGCATATCAAAGGCATCTCCAGGGCCTTACAGCCCCTCCGTGCTCCAGATGCCTGAAAAGTGCATGTGAATGGAACAGTGGTCAGAGAAAAAGGAACTTGTGCTCCTTCTTATTCTCCAGAACTAGTTTTTCAGTCCAGGTGAGGGACTGCTGGCTCAAACTGAACTTGCTGTCAACCAGGACCCCCAAATCCCTTTCCAAGGGCTGCTTTCCAGCCTCTTGCTCTCCTTCCCCACTCTGACAGCTCTGCCACATCCATCCCAAGATATTGTGTTTGTATCATCTTCCCAGGCTTTCACACACAGAAGTTAAACCCTCCTCCCCAGGACACAAGCCTGGTGGAGTTTGGAGTGGAAGGAGGTGGCGTAGAAATGGGTTTATATTGTCTCATTCCAGGCTTAATCATGTTCCCTTCTCAACTGTCTTCATGCTGAGGCAGAAAGTAGAATTTGTGAGTGTCTTCCTCAGCCCTTCATTCTCCTGTCCCTGTGGTGTCACTTACCTGGTGGGCAGTCTGTAAATCCAGCTTAAATAAATCTTGGTTATTTACATGAACTCTAACAGTTACTTTTGACAAGACTGTGAGAGGCCCATCTTATTTCTCACCTTTTTTATCCATCTTGTACTAACCTGAAAGGACTAACTCCCTGGAGGGAGTTGTATAATTTTTGTCCTATGTTGTATAATTTTTTTCTACATCTTCAGGTTTTTGGGAGGATTGGAGAGGAAATTTTCCTTTGAAATCACTAAACATTTCTCTGTCACTTCAAGACACTTCTCATCTGACTCCAGTCAGTATTTAATGCCCTGAATTTATGGTAAGGGAACAGTTCTTGTAACTGGCAATCAGGAATGTCATCATTGAAGTTCCTGATGTAAAAAAGAGCTGCAGGAGGTGCCAGGACACTCTCACTGCTACAGGAGACTCCCAGCTCTCTGCAGATGGATTGTGAGGGCTGGCTGGTGTCATGTTAGCTGGAGTTCCCATCAGATTTCTGCTTCTCCGTGGAATAAAGACCATATGGGAGCCAGGAGAGAGGTCATTTCAATGCCTTGCTTGGTGATTTTGTGTGACAAGAGTTGTCAAGTTTGTTGTATTCTGTCCCTTCTGATAGACAAATGGGGAGTGAGGCAGGACCAAGGTTGGGAGGGGGTTATTTTCAGAGGGGTCCCAGACATGCAACTTCTGAGGCAAAGATTTTACTGCTGATAAAGTACAGGCACTGACAGAAGCTGTCACCATCCAGATAAAACCTTTTTTATTTTTTTTCCCCTATCAGCAGCTGCATATAGCATCTCCCCATTGGCAGAATAAATCTGATAAAAAAATGTAGTTGTAAGCAGCAACGATTTTATCCTGGTGAAAAGATTTTATCCAACAAGAAAAATGTTGTGCCTGGGCATAATTTTTCAGATATGATGAACAACAGCATGGTATGACCCTCAGTCCTAAGGATTTCATGTTAAAAGGACTACTGAGCATATCAGATATACTCAACTTTTTCCTCTGCTATATTTTTTTTTCCCATTGGCAGAGTTCAGTTTATAGATACATCTTGACAAAAATCTGCCAGAGGCAAATTTCAACAAAAGAACAACTTCAAACACATCCAATTAACAATTTATGAAAGGAAATCCAACAGAAAATTACACAGAGATTCACAGGGCATAAAATTTGTCACTAAATCAAATTTATTGTGGAAATGCCTGTACAGGGAGTTATGGCCCCTTCTAGTGCAGTGTCAAAGGGAACTTTATCTGTGGAGGCTCAGCGAGTGCCCTCCATCTGATCTTTTCTTGCTATAAATAAAATGTTTTGTCAGTCATGGCAATGAACATAACTCAGAAGGGAATGAAGAGCACTGATAAGCCCAGCTATGTGCAGCTTTCAATCAGAGGCATTAGAAGTGATTAGATTTCTTCAGAGTTTCAGATTTAAGATTTTTTTGCTTTATCAGAGAAATGAAGGGCTCAGTACCATGGACAGCACAAAAAAAAAAATCACTTCTATTTGTTAGACAGCATACAGACCCTGATAGCAGGTCATGGTGTCTGCATTTAACATTATTATGGAGCCATTTTTATGTCTGGAAGGAAATACCAGTCCCTCTGCATCCTGTTGTTTTACTGATTTACTCATTCAGCGGCTGTGGTTGGATTTTTTCGGAAGATGTTAAGGATGCAAACACATGTAATTGCCTTCAGCAGCTCTGAAATTAACTTAGGTCACTACTTTGTTTAGAGAAAAAGATCTGTGTCTAGACCTTTACCGATTTAAACACAGGGGTAGCTGGTTTTCTTCTAAAAGATGACTGAGCAGCAGCCCTTACATTGTGTTTCCTGAGTAATTTGCAGGGGGGATGTGTTATTTACAGATACCAGGCCCAGCAAGTGAGGATGACAAATAAAGTTGACACAGGCCAAGATAAAGCATATTTGTGGTACGGCTGTGCTATTCCATGGGCTAACCTAATCTGAAGAGCTGGCTGCTGCCTCTGCTGTTGTCCCTGTGCTCCCACATCAGAACAGGAAACATTTGAGCACTTGCAAATTTGTCATCTTCCCCTGAAATTCAGACCTGCATAGGACAAGCACGGCTTTGAGTGTCCATTCGTGGGCATTGAGGTCCTTGGTGCAGCGTTCTTGCTGCCACCAGAGCACGCAAATTTCATCAGAGCACTTCTCCTGTGTTTCCACAAGGCAGATTCTTAGGATCTTCCAGCCCACTTGGCCATGTGCAGTTTGCCTCTGCTTGTCTGAGCCCACTGTTGAAGATGAGAGGACATCTCTGTCACTAAATGAAGCATTAGAATACCCCAAGGGTTTTTTCCAGAGTCCATTAATACACTCTTTTGGCACTGAAACACTGTACCAGGAAAGTTAGTGTCCAAGGCACATAATAATTAGTGAATAAAACACCCCCAGAGCATCTTAATCCTATTAAAATATGTCTTATAAAGTTTAAATTAATCTTTAACCTAATTTTAAATGATTATTTTCTTCCTGTAACACACCCTTTCTCATTAGATCACTGTAAAGCAGAAGGTGAAACAATGTAAGACATTAATGTCAAAGATTTTCATCTTCTGCTCATATTTTGAAAGATACTTGACTGTTTGATGCTGATTTTCCTATTTCCTTCTACTTCTTCCATCACCCCAATTCCTTCACCACGTTGTGTGATTTTCCTTGTCTCCAACAAGGTATGGTGATAATAATAATGAATTAATTTCATAAGACAAAGTCTAAGTGTAGGCAAATGCAAAAATTCTTTTGTTTCTAAATGCAGGAATTGCACACTTTTTAGGGAGCTAAAGCAGAGATAGAGAGTTAAATAAATTTTCAGACTCAAGTCCTCCCAGTCCTTCCAGTTCTCCAGTCCTGTACCTTTACGTCTAAATGCCATGTGGCCTCACTTCCTGTTCACTCTGTCGGAATTCAGAGGAATTAATACTTTTGAAGAAGTAAGCCACAGTAAGACAGCAAAGGCTTTTATTTTTTGGGCATCACTCCCAGCGTTTGTGCTTCAGATAAACCCAGAGAACTGAACATCCCCTTGAGTACTTGTTTTCTCCTGTAGCTTTCGGAGGCTTTGGGGATGTTCAGATCAAGGATGTGCTGTGGCCACAGCCATTTCTTCTTTCAACTTCAGAGCATCAGAAGCACTTGGTTTGCTCTTTTTTATTGTAACTTTTGGTTAGGAGTCAAAGCTCAGCTCAAGGCCAAGTTAGAGGACCATGAACATTGTTTGAAGAGGAATCCTCATGCAGTTGTAAGGTTGGAGCCTTCAACAGCACCTCTTAGTTTAGAACTTGATCTCAGTCTACAAACCAACCTTGAGTCAGTTCATTCTCCAAGTCCAGCCAGGACTGAATGTGACACAGGCTCAGAATCCAAAGGGTGGATGGAAAAGACTTTGTTAAACCTCTGCCCCTACTTTTTGTTTAGATCCAACCAGTTCTTGAACAAGGTTTTAAAATCTGGACCTGAATATAAGTGCAGTTCCCAAAATAGAAGAAAATGGTATCTTGGGGCTTATAAAACAAGTTAGGTGAGAAGCCCATTAAACAGGCAGATAGGACATGGGTGGATGATTTTAAACTGAGAGAGGAGATATTTATGTTACATATAATGAAGAATTTATTTCCTCAGAGGGTGGCGAGGCACTGGAACGAGGTGCCCAGAGAAGCTGTGGCTGCCCCAGCCCTGGACGTATTCCAGGCCAGGTTGAGATGATCTTTAAGGTCCTTTCAGCCCCAACCATTGTGTGATTCTATGACTGTGATCAGGTGTGTCAGAAAAACCACGTAAACTCCACAGAGTGAACACCACAAATCTGCGAGCTGCTCAAGCTGATCATTCTGCGCTCACATCGCTGCAGTGATTTCCCCCTTTTTAAGCTTTGCCATTTATCTCATAAATGGAGAAGACTGGAGCCTTTGTATTTTGAATGTTGCAAGTTAGATCATAAAGTCTTCAGTTCAAATGATTAGGATTTCTCTGTGCCTGAGAAAGTTTCTAATTCAGGAGGAATTTCCAGGGAAATTAAACAAGGTAAATGTGTTATTTTTTCATCAGTGTTTTCTTCTGTCAGAACTGTGGAAAATTGAATTTGGTTACTGTGGCCCAAAAGTAGCTCAGATCTGACTTCAAGTCCTGACATTTCCTTTGAGACTTGAAATGTTTCCTCTCATGTAATTCACTTTTCTCCTCTTCACCTTTCCGCCACTGTTTACGCCATCTCTTATATCAATATTTCCTTTCCCCACTCTAAAGCTGTGTAAAACTGGAAAACATTTACACTTCCTTTCCTTTCTTTCCATTCTCCCATCTCAGCAGAGCCCTAAGGCCCCCTTCTCTGACCTGCCTGATGATGAGAAGATCTTTAATGGAGGCGATGGCGCGTGGCAGAACCAGGGCCAGGACCAAGCCTTGCTCTCGGAAATCACGGAGGAGGATTTGGAAGCCATCCGCCAGCGGGAAGAGGCCATCCAGCAGATTGAGGTCAGTAACCTCCTCCCACCACCAGGTTTTGTGAGCTGGAAGTGCAGAATCCTTGCATTGTGCCTTGCTCAACGTGAAGGAAATCCTGATTTACGTCGCTGCCAGTACGGTGTCGCTAAAAGCGGGGGAGATTATGAAGAATTTCTAAACATGGGAATCAGTGATAGAAGGGAAAGTTGGAAATCTGTGTGATTTGTAATGAAAATGACAAGAGTTAATTAATGTTCATGGGCTGATGGCTGGTTTCTTCCCAATGACTGTTCCATAGCAGAGTCTGTGGTGAGGTTTCTTAATTGAGCTGGGCTCTGCAGCAAAACAACTTCTTCAGTGCACACAAACTTGAAATTGGAATTTGTCACAGGCAAAAAACACTCAGCTTTACCATTAGAGAGAATAATTGCTAGACAAAAGGAAATAACTTGTTAACCTTTTCAAATTATTCAGTATTTTGCTGTGTCAAAGTATTTGGACATTCTTGACGTAGTTAAAACAGGACATACTATTTTTATTCCCTCCCCCCTTTTTCTTTTATTTTTTTGAAAGTGCTATAAAAATATGCAATAAAAGGAACAAAAAGAGGCCTGAATAAGTTAAACATCCCACATTTTTCTTTTTATACCTCCCTTTTTACGCTTTTGGGAAACTCTTGTTAGTTAAATTTAAGCGATAAATGGGTAAAACAAGAACATGTTAAACCTTCCTAATTTGTATGCTTTTACAAACCTAAACTCAAGATGAACCAAAAAAAAGAGGGCTTCAGAATAATCAGAACATTTAATTAAGGGCTATACTTTGTCCTTTAATTAGATTGGGCTAATTTTATCAGGATAGATTTTGGGTTGCAGTACAGCAGGAATTGTGATTGAGTTAACAGTGCAAAAAGGGGACAAAAGTTCCTGCTGGGGACTGGTGCTTTGAGGTTGGGACCTCTGTTTGCAAACAGTGATGGCCACATATGACTCAACTCTCCAAATTAGAAATTTTGACAGTTTTACAGGAGCAGGTCCAGGTCAGTGTTTGTTTAATTTCTGTTGTGGTTCACTGAGCAGAGATGAATGAGCTTTGTGGACTTGTGTCCATTACTAGGGGTGAAACTGTCAAAAAGTATTCTCACGCTGAGTATCTTTGGCTGTGAATTGTCATTTTGCACTTCAAGGGATCTCAGTGCATCCAGCAGAACAAACTGTAGGGAACTTTGTTGCAAAGAAAATGCATGTTTTGGGTGTTCCTGCACTTTGATGTTCAGGAGGGATGGTAGTAAATGTATTTCTGAAATGATCTTGTGAGCAGCATCACCAGCTCAATGGAGATGTGTGAGAACAGTCTGAGTAGAATTTTGTGCTGTGTTGTCTGAGATGACCCTGCTTGAGCAGGGATGTTGGACCAGATGACCCCACTGTGGCGCCTCAGCCATTCTGTTGTTCTGTGATTTTGTGATCCCTTTTGTTTGAAACATAGTCTGAGCCTTTTTTAGTTTGTCTTTACATTGCCCCTGTCCTCCCCAGAAAAGAAAAAAAAAAAAAAAAAAACCAAACATTTAGTAGTTGCCCATTAGGCAGTGGGAAATGGCAACCCCAAAAACTGCCTCAAGCCCACCAGCATCGAAAAGTCAAGAAGTGCAGTTGTGTCTCCTGTGTCTCCTTGGAGATATCTTTATTTATTTTGCTGGTTAAATCCCATTTCTGTGCCAAAATCTGAAGCCACTGCACCAAGCTGCACAGGGCCACGTGGCCATGGTGGGGTAGCTGAGGGGGGTGAAGTGAACCCAATCACAATCCTAAATAACATTTAAAGAAAAAAATCAACATTCATGTATTGATTCAATATATTCAATATATGGATTTGATCCTGGATACCTTTCTGCCTAATATGAATTTACCTCTGAATAGCTTAGTTTATGCAATTAATTATTTAGTCAGCTTGAGCAGTTAATGATGTTTAGGCTTTTGCTTCCTGAGAATTACCCATTTTTAGTCCATCTCCTCTATCCATTTTCCTTTACTCTCAAAGATCCCTGTTCATCCTCTAACGAGGGCCGCATTCCACAAAAATTATTTCAAATGTAGTTTAAACATTTCTCCTCAGGGGGAAAATATTTAGGACCGATGGCATTTTGTTTAACATCTCTTTTGAAAGAAATATAATGAAAATGAGTTTTTTTGGACAGCATTGTTCCTTTCCCCAGCTGTATTTGAATAAGCAGATGGTGCTTTTAAATAATTTTCACTGTGTTTTGTTTTTCTGTTTGTTGATCTACATGAGCATATTTCTTGTGAAAGAACTCATCTTGCACATTAAAACTTCCCTGTTTTCAGTAGAAATTGTGGGTACACAGAGGATTCCTTGAGCTCACAGCCACCACAACAAATTTTTTCCAGTATATTTTCACAACCAGTGAGTAGCCAAGAAGGTTAAAATGACACATTATTCTAGCTGTCAAACATAACTAATAAACCAAATTTATTGCCAATTTGATGTATAGCATTTGTTGTCCTTTGTTCTTTGGGGACCAGAATGAAGAACAGAGCTGTGCAGAACTTGTTTTGTGCAAGTAGATTGGTCTCACTGGGATTTCCATGTTGCTGCATATCCAGCACCAGAAACATGCAGATTTTGAGCAGCACAGGAGACACTGAAAAAACATCACATCTTCTGATTACACACAACTTTAAAGAAGCTCATGGTGCTGGTACCAGTCATGGGACTTCTTTTTTAAGAGACACTGAATTTGCCGTTTTTGCAGGAAAAACCTTCTTCATTGCTGAAGAAATAAGGAAATAAGTGCTCTTTTCACCTTGTGTCCTGAAAGACAGATATAAAATTGTGCCTATAACAGACATTTTCTTAATGTTCCAATGACTTCTTCCCACTTGTGTGTTTTCCATGTCTCCAAAATCTCTTCAGAGGTTTGGGTGAATGGGACATTGTTCTCTGTCAGGAACATCCCTCGAGGCACTTTTCAGTTCACAGTTTCCACCTAGACAGATAACAGCCAAGTCAAAAGTTCACCTGGCTGTTCATTTTATTTAAATGTGCTCCTTTTGCTATTGCTTGCAGATTAAAACCAGAGACGTCTGCGGAGATGTCTCGCCAAAACCTTACATTTTGGATAAAGATCTTTATTGCTTGGAAATGTCAGAATCTGGTAGGACACAGCAGCCTTGACACAAGTGTTATTTCTTAAAATATTGCTTTGAACTGTTATATAAAACCTATTTTAACTTGAACTGTATTGGCAGTGAATAATAGATGCCATAACAGCTTTATATATAGCACTGTAAAATGTGCCATCAGAAATACATGAGCTGAACTGTAATGTGCATTGTCAGTGCTCAGTGCTGGCACAAGCTCTGTCATAGCAAATATACATATATATATATATAATTTACCATCCCATACCTTCCATTTGCACCTGTGGTCATCTGAAAAATGGGAGGAGATAAAAGTTTGAGAAGAAATGGATAAGCACTGAATGGGGAACATCACAGAATTTCAGCTGATGACTGGAAAGTCCTATAAAAAAAAGATTCTAAATGCTGTATTGATTCAGAAAGCCTCCTGTGATCCTCCACATGCAGACAGCTTCCCCAGGGGTGATGAGAAAGGAAAATGAGGAAAACCTCCCCCAAGGTGGTCCACCAACCCTTTTCCTCTCTCACAGCAGTTTCCCATCCCCATGCTCTGCTTCCACAGAGTGGGCATTCTCTTACCTTGGAGGGTGGGAGGTCTCCCTTCCCATGGCACAGGGGTTGGAACAAGATGATCTTTAAAGTCCCTTCCAACCCAAACAACTCTGTGATTCCATGATATCCTGAGGAAAGCAAAACACATCCCAGGAACTGCATTTCAGTTGATGCATCCCTTGGCAAAAAAGAAGGAGAGATGGATAGGTTGTGGCAACAGGTGTGAGGCAAATGCTTTTATTTTTTAGGAGAGGTTGTTCCCTCTGGGTCGTTGTTGGGAAATGTTGATGTTTATTCCCTATCTGTTTTGAAGACAAGTGATAGATGCCAGCCTCCACGCCTGTCACTCAAGCCTTTGTAGGCAGACAGAAAATGAAGCACAATAAAAATAAAACAAAAGAAAGCCCTACAGAGTCTGGCAGAGCGTGTTTGTTAGTTCAAACATGTTCCTTGCTCCCTCATTACTACGTATCATTTCTTGCTGAGGGCTGTTTTCGGTAAAATCTCTCACCGATGGATGCAGTTTAGAGGGTTTACTGCAAGCTATTTTATACCTCTCATCAGCCTCAATAGTCCAGGTCTTTGACTTATGAGGGCTCTGCCTGTCTCTTCACAGAGGCTTTTTTGACTCAGAGTAATGTATAAATAGCACAAGATCATGACAAGCACCATCCGTGAACGATCTGGCGCCGTGTGAGTGTCAAGCTCTCCTCATGACAGAATTGGGGACCCTAATTATCCTGAGCTGCAGAGCTGCCTGCCAGGTTGACATGGCCATCCCTGGGACTGGTATTGAGTTGTTCCCTAAAGAACCAGCTCCAGTATGCTGCCCAGTCTAATTTAAAATGACCGGAGCTTCAGGACTGCTACCATTTATTTTGGGAGACTATTTCATGGTCCAGCAGGCTTCAGTGTTGATGAAATGCTTCCCTCTGTTCTTGCTAAAGATCCCTTTCTCATTCCCGGCTTTTTACACCTAGTGAAACTCTGCTGGACCCTGCAAATAATTCTTCTTCCCCTTTGGCTTTTAAACTCTTCAAATGCTAGCAGTTATCCTCTTCTTCACAAGTTGGTCTCCCTGGCTTTTCAGTCACTTCAGCGCTCTCTTCTCAATTATTTCCCATTTGTTAGTTCTTTGCTCCTGCAGCAGCAGACTGTAGATAGGCTTTTGGTGTTGTACCAGAGCTGAACAGAAGAAATGTGTAAAAAGCCCCGTGGATCCAATTCAGAGATTACAAGTCCTGATGGAAAATTTCTAGATAATTTCTGCACTAGTAAATTAAACTCAGCAACAACACTAGAATGTGTTCATTACAC